CCTATTGTTCAAGCTACTCTTGGTTGGGTGTTCTGTTATTTGTGTCCATATTCTTAAGATGCTAAAATATAGATACAGATAGGCTAAAATAGAAAATGAAAAATCTCTATCCTCCCCCTACAGATAGCCACTGTTAAACTATTAATGTTTGGTATGCATTTTCAAGTATCTAATGCATTTTAATACATATAAATATTCATAAATACATATAAAATTAACAGGCTCATAGAATAAATGCATTCTGTTCTATACCCTGTTTTGGTTTATTTTCTTACTTAACAAAATATCATGGTATATTTCTATGTCAGTACAGCTTTCTTTTTTTAATGACTCGATCTTCTATTGCTAGACATTTAGGATATATCCAATATTTTCTCATTATAAGCAATGCTGAAATAATTATCCTTGAACATACATCTGTGTGCACTTGCCTGATTGTTAGACATGGACAGAGGGTATGCACGTATTAAATGTTGACACATCTATGTATTAAACAAATGTTTATTGAGGGGCTAATACATGGGGCACATTTATGCTTGATGAACAGATACCATGGTGGAGCTTTTAGTCTGGTGGGGAGACTGAGAATTTAACAGGTAAACAAATAGTAAATAGTTACATATTGTGATGAGTGATAAGTGGGAAATGAACAGATGTGGTATGAATACAATATGAAGCTACTTAGATGACCAGCGAAGGCCTCCAAAGAGGTGACATTTAGCTGAGAGTTTAAGGATGAGAAGGGCCCAGACCCTGTAAAGATGGTAAGGAGGAATGCCCTCGGTGAAATCCCCCAGGGAAGAAAGAGCTTTCATATTTAAATATCTAAAAGGAAACCAGTTTGGCCAGAGCAGCTGAGAAGATGGAGGGGCAGGCAAGGTCCAGAGAGCAAGAGATCTGGTCAGTTGCGTTGTGTTGGCGCATTTGAGTTTATTTTATTTTTTGGAAAGTCACTGGAGGGCCTTAAGAAAGGAAGTGACTTGCTGTTTTATTATTATTTTTTTAATGATCGCTCTGGTTGCTGTTTTCCATTGTTTGAATGGAGGCAAAGCCAGGAGACTAGTAAGGATGTTATTGAAGTGATCTGGGCAAGATAATATGGCGTGGAGTGGAGTATTAGGAATATACAAATGGATCAGTGGCTAGAAACAAAGCATTTATAAACAGGGAACTCAGTATATGATAAAAGTGTGTATTCCTACACTGGTGGTCCACAATTTTATTTACTGAAGTTTTATATTTTATTATTTTTTTAAAGATTAATTTATTCTAGAGATGGGGAGGGGGAAAAGGAGAGAGAGAATCTCAAGCAGACTCCCCACTGAGCTCGGAGCCCAACAAGGAACTTGATCCCAGGACCCTGAGATCATGACCTGAGCCAAAATCAAGAGTCAGACCCTCAACCAACTGAGGCACCCAGGTGCCCCTATGTTATATTTTAATATGTTAGATAACCCGTATTACTGCTCTAACAGATATTAAAATGTAAGTTATTATATTAATATGATATAAAATATATATAAAGTATGTTATAATGTAAGTTTCATATTATATTTTATATTCATTATTCTTACAAATTTAATATAATACTATTATTCAATTCGAAAAATTTTCTGCGTATTTTCCCATATTTATTTGTCAAAATCAGTTTTAAAATAATTTTGTCATGTTCCATTGCATCACATCCCCCAAATCATATTGGTTCTTTGATTTAGATTCCACTAAATTGATAAATTGAGTTAGGGGAGATATGACATCTTTGCAATATTGAGACTTCTTCCCCAGGGATTTATTATGTTTTTCCTTTTAATAAGGACTTCTTTTATGTCCTTTCAGTAAGGTTTTATAGTTTTCTTTCTATGGGCCTTCCCATTTCTTGTTAATGTTAAGCCCAGCTATTTTATAATAGTCGTTGCAAATGTGAATATAATTTTCTTTAAAAAATCATACTTTCTAAATAGAAATCACTGGTATTTAGTGCTATATTTAGGGGATCCTATAAGTAATACCTCTCTCCCTCTTCTGAATTTGGAAGAAACTGAGGCATAGATATAGGAAAGTGACATAGGAGATAAAAGTCCTGGAAATTGACAGAAAAATGTAGCTTTTGATCTGTAGCCAAGTCGACTTGCTATAATATTTCCCCCTGAACTGAAGAGATTTACCTCTGTAGTAGCTGGACAATAGTATCTCTCTGCACAAGAAACAGGTCCACTTGCCACATGTCGGGAGAACACATAAAAATATTTGCTCTCTGCAATCAGCCGAAGTCAAAAAGAACACAGAAGTTTCAATGGAAAGGAAGTCTTTTCCCTTCACATTTAGAAAAGCCATTGATTTTGGTGTTTACCTTATAACTAGCCATTTCACCAAAAGCTTTAAGATTTTTGGCTGATTCTCTTCAATTTTTGTTTTTAGGTACACACTTAAATCGTGAACAGATAATGACAGTTTTGTCTCTTCCTTTCCAATATTTGTTTCTTATTTATTTTTCATATCTTATTGCATTGGCATTAGTCTCTAGCAGCTATGGCAGGCATCCTTGTTTTGTTTCTGACTTAAATGAGAATACCTTTAGTGTTTCACCATTAAATATGTTCGTTGATGGCTTCTGATAAACTTTATCATGTTAAGAAGTTTAAATTTTCTTCCTAGTTTACTGAGAGGTTTTTAAAAATTTATAATTGGTGTTGAAGTTTATCAAATATTTTAAAGCATCTGTCTTATTGAAATACCCTGTGATTTATTTTTCTTTAGCAATGCACTCAATTTATAGATTCCCTGATGGTGAATTATTCTTTGGAATAAATCTTGCTTGATCATAGTGGATTTTGACTTGTTTTACATCAAGTTGGATTCAAACTACTAAAATTTTGTTTAGTAGCTTTACAACTATTATATACTTAAGTGGGTTGGTCTATAGTTGTGATTCACATATTAGAGATAATTGGAGAACTTTCAAAAGGTGGTCCTGGCTCAGATGAGTTTGAGAAATGCCAGGTTAAACAGTTTCTTTACCCCTGGACTTCACAGAGACTTTAATATACAAACACTTATTGTGATTCTCCAAAAGGTAGACTATAAATGGAAGCACTTTGTCAAGTTGTTTGACTATAGAGCCTCTTTTTCAAATAATCCATATTAAATTATCTGGACACCAGTGTTCTATACTGATCTGCAGTTCTCCTTTTTGGTGTAATCTCTATCAGATTTTTTTTTTTCCCTGTGTAACAGTTTAAAAAACATAGGGATTGTATGTCCCCTAATGGTTTGAAAAAAACTTGTCTGTAAAACCATCTGAACCAGTGGCATTTCTGAGTGAGACAGACACTTGGAATGCACACACTTGCCTTGCTTCCCCACAGGACATTTTCCCCAACAGCCAGTTCTGCTTAGAAAAGCCTAGAATGTGTGAAAATTAGACTTGATGTATTAGCAAATTGATGCCAGTCACTCTTGCGTGGCCCTCAGCTCTAAAGGCTCCAGCCTTCTGACCACAATTCTTTCAAATAGCAGGCCAGCTTCTGTCTGGGAATGCCTTGCTGGGGCTGTATAGGACATTTTTGGTTAAAGGTGCAGAGTTTGCTCCTGTCTTTGGTACCAGCCATTCTAGCTGAGAGTCAAGCTCTGGACCCCACTCCTCATCCAGCTTCATCTTATCCTCTGGCCTGCACCTCTTCCCAAGTACTGTAAGGCATCACTTCTGTAAACCTCTAGATGCTTCCCTCCAGGGCAGTCCCATAACCCTGATTGTGGGCCTCTGTGGGTAAATCATTTGCCCAGCATAAAGGGGAGGCAGAGAATTGCTGGGAGATTGGGGTCATTTTGAGAGGTCTGTTATTAATAGGGTCTGAGGCCTGGCTAAGCTTGTGTTGGGTCCATTAGGACAGTGCGGTCTCCTGAACTGGAGTGAGCAGAGTTGAAGGAATGGCCTGATGTTCACTAAAGCCTGGGGGTGGGGGGGGTGGGGGGCAGGTGTCTTGCCTGCAAGAGGCCAACGTGTGTGTGTGTAAGCCGGGGGGGGGGGGGTGTCTTCCCTGCAAGAGGCCAACGTGTGTGTGTGTGTGTGTGTGTGTGTAAGCTGGGGTGGGGGGGCGGGTGTCTTCCCTGCAAGAGGCCAACGTGTGTGTGTGTGTGTGTGTGTGTGTGTAAGCCGGGGGGGGGGGGTGTCTTCCCTGCAAGAGGCCAACGTGTGTGTGTGTGTGTGTGTGTGTGTGTAAGCCGGGGGGGGGGGGGTGTCTTCCCTGCAAGAGGCCAACGTGTGTGTGTGTGTGTGTGTGTGTAAGCTGGGGTGGGGGGGCGGGTGTCTTCCCTGCAAGAGGCCAACGTGTGTGTGTGTAAGCCGGGGGGGGGGGTGTCTTCCCTGCAAGAGGCCAACGTGTGTGTGTGTAAGCCGGGGGGGGGGTGTCTTCCCTGCAAGAGGCCAACGTGTGTGTGTGTGTGTGTGTGTGTGTAAGCCGGGGGGGGGGGGTGTCTTCCCTGCAAGAGGCCAACGTGTGTGTGTGTGTGTTGTTCATCTCGGCGCCAAGAGGCCTGGGGGCGTCCAGGATTCTTAGGCTGTGCTGAAGGGCTGGTTGAGTGAGGCCTAGGAGAGCTGAGTGGGCTGCGGGGCCCTGCAAGAGACCAGCTTGGCGGAGGGGAGACTAGTGCCCAGACTCCAAGAGGCCTGCGGCTCCCGGGGCTCGGAGGCCGGTCTGGGGGCCGCCCGCGGGCTCGGGGAGGCCGGGCCGGGGGCGGGGGGGGGGTGGCTAGCGGGCTGAGCCTTGGGGGAGGCCAGGGGGAGGCGGGGTGCCGGCCCGGGCGGCGGCGCGGGCTCCGGACGCGAGGGCTCGCGCTCCCTCCTCCCGCCCGAGCCAGCCTCGGGCACCCGGCGCCTCCCCCGGAGCCAGCGCCAGAGCCGGGAGCCCCGGAGCCCGGCCCGCCGCCGCGGCCCGCCGAGGGAGCCGCGGCCGCCGTTGTCGCTGGTGCCGCCGCCGCCGCCAGGCCGCGCCCCGCCCCTGCCGCCGCCGCCGCCGCCGCCGCCGCCGCTCCCCGGTGAGGCTCGCGCTCGAGCTGCGGCGCCGGCCCCGCCGCCTGGGCCCCGGGCCCGGCCCCTCCCGCGCCGCCCGGGCGATGAGAAGCTGCTTCTGCGTGAGACGGAGCCGGGACCCGCCGCCGCCGCAGCCGCCGCCGCCCCAGCGGGTAACAGTTAAGTGAGGCCGGGCGGGCCGGGCGCCGCGGAGGCTCGGTTGAGCCGGCCCTACTGCCCCGGCGGGCGGGCGGGCGGGCGGGCGGAGCCGGGCCGCGCCGAGGCCTGCGGGCTCGGTGCCCGGCCCACCGCGGGGACAGGCCCGGCGGCCTCTGCCCCGAGTCCGTGCGCGCCGAGACTGCTCGAACACCGGCTTGGCCTTGCGGCGGGCAGGCGGGAGGGAAATCAGGGATCCGATTGCCAGCAGCACCCCCCGCCCCCCGGGCCGGCCAGGTGAGGGTCCCCGAGAGCCGCCCCCCGCCCGGGTAGGTGGTGAGGCGGCCCACCTGTGCCCAGGCCTCTGCGGCCACCTGCACAGACTGGGGACAGTCGTTTCACTGGCCCAGCCTGGGGTTCAGCTCTGTGTGGTCACGTGGGTGCAGACCAGCTTGCACCTGAGCCTTGAGCATCATCTGGGGTGCGGCCTTCTCTGTGACCTGGACACAGCAGAGAGGACACCCAAATGTCAGGGCACCTGTCTAAAGGTGAGGTGCCCGGCCTGGGCACCCAAGACCCAGAGTACCCATCCTGGAAGCGTGGTGGGTGTGTTGATGAGCACCCCATTAAGACTGCGGCCTGAGTGAGGTTCCGGGGCAGGGGCTGGTACAAGAGCTATGGCTGAGCACCAGGGGACATCAGATCCCCAGCGACAGGCCCCGGTGAAGAAGGCAGACCCATGAGCATCTTTGTCCTCTTTGTTACCAACAGACAATTCTTCCTAAAGTATCAGCCTTTTTCACTACTGAAGATGTGACTCTTCTGTCCCCTGCCTCTCAGCCTCTTCAGCAAGGAACAGAGAGGAAGGCCCCAAGAAGGCAAAAGGCAAATGGTTGTTGCCACTTCTCTGCTCCCCACCCCCACTCAAGAGCCAGCGCCCACTCAGATTTCTGCCACAAAAGCCACAGCAGGCCAGCGACTCTTTAGGGGCCTTTGTCTCTGTTGGTTCCTTCTCGGTATAATCTCATCGTACATTTCTCGACAGCTGGCTGGATCTCATCTCATTTTCACACGGGGTGGAAAAAAGTCTTATCAGCTGCACCAGAGAAGCCTTAGAAAAGTTAGGGGATAAGCTCTGCCCAGACAAACCAAAAAGCTCAGGGTACTCAGAAGGTTAGTTACAGGACATAGGGGACACCTTTCTTGTTCACTGGAATTGTTTGAGATATTGGGCCATGCAGAGAATATTTAAATGGAGCCTCTGAGAGATGGGACCTCTGCTGGGATCTGGGCATCAAGGCCCATGTGAACCAGTTGATTGGTTCATTTGAGCCCAGAATCATCTTTTCTGATCAACATTTTTCCTTCCTTCCTCCTAGCTCTTAGGCCACACTCCTGATTTATGCTGAAGGCATTTCCCTGCCTGCCTCCATCCCACTGACGGGCTTTCCCCACATTCAGCTGCAGCAGTGCACCCATGGTTAAATGCAAGGACTTTAGAGTTAGACCTCAGCTGAATCCTTGGCTTTCCTACTTACTGTGTGTTCTTGCATAAATTAATGAACTTTTCTGAGCCTCAGTTTCCTCATCTGTAGAGTGAGGCTAACATCTATCTCATAGGATTATGGTGAGCCGTGAATAAACTATTGCAAGAGAAGCATTTAGCTCTGTGTCTGCCACTGGGCAAGTGGTCAGTAAAAGTTAGTGATTATCATTAAGTGTTTGTTAACTTATTAATCAGAAGAGTAGCTTCATTTTTACTTTTTCTTTACAGTGTCCTTTTGTTTGTGGTTATTATTTAGCTCTCCTTAGGACAACTAGGAGGGGATGAAAGAGTAAGAACACAGGGCTTGGATTTGGGGGTTTGGATTTGAATCTTAGTCTATTTCCTGCAATCTGAGTGACCCTAGGCAGGTCATGGAACCTCACGGAGCCTTTCTTTCTTTCTTCCTTCCTTCCTTCCTTTCTTTCTTTTCTTTCTTTCTTTCTTTCTTTCTTTCTTTCTTTCTTTCTTTCTTTCTTTCTTTCTTCTTTCTTTCTTTCCTTCTTTCCTTCCTTCCTTTCTTTCTTTGCCTTTGCCTTCCTTCCTTCCTTCCTTTCTTTTTTCTTTCTTTCTTTCTTTCAAATATTTTATTTATTCATTTGAGAGAGAAAGAACACAAGGGGAGAGGCAGAGGGAGAGAGAGAAGCAGACTCCCCACTGAGCTGGGAGCCGGACATGGGGCTTGATCCGAAGACCTAGAGATCATGACCCAAGCCGAAGGCAGATGCTTAACCATCTGAGCCAGCCAGCTGCCCCTCACAGAACCTTTCTGAATCCCGATTTCCTTCTGTGTAAAAGTGGCATAAGAATATAACCTACCCCATAAGGCTGAATGAGTTGATGTATGTGAATGCATGTGGCACTGCAGAGGGTGTGGGGGAGTCCTCACCAAATTTAGGTGGAAGCCAGAGGCAGACCCTGGTTTTCTGGGTTAGACAGTTTGGAGTGGGGAGGGGTTATAAGAAAAAGAAAACAAGAATATCTTGCCTTTGTACATTTTACCAAACCACCCGACCATGTGAACACATTGCTGGGTCCTCCCAGGAAAGGGGTGGGGGTGGCCGAAGGTTCATTGCTATTAGTTTCATGGCAGATCTGCTTCTGGGGGAGTCCGAATCCAAAAGTCGTGGGCCCCTCTGCCTCAGCAGGTTGGAAGTGCTCCATGCTTCCTGTTCAAAGAGCGACATCCTTTGCCACACTGGAAAGTAATGATGGAGTTGGAGCCAAGCATGGGAAATGTCAAAGGTGCTATTATGATGATGAAGATAACAAATGACTACATGGCTGATGTGGTGGGCCGAGGACACTGTATTTAGTTGGTTGCGGTTGAATGAGCAGTCTCCTTTGCTGGTTGGGTTGTGGGAGGGGAGGCCTGGAGTCCTTGAATGAGCTGCCTCTCTCAGGCTGTTCTTGCTCTCTCGGAGGCCCTCCCCGGCCAGTGTTTCCCGGGCCCCACTGGCTCTCCTTGGCCTCCTGCTTGCGGCTGCCCTTGAGAGTTGTGGTTTCCCTGCGTCCTGTGCACGTTGGCAGTGGGGTTGCCTGTGTTCGCTCTCCTCCTCTCCGCCGTGAGGGAGGCCGAGCCCCCACAGGCTGTACCTGACATTACCTCCCTTGTTGGGGACAGCCTGTGGGCACGTGTTTGGTTTACCTGACACACTTCTGGTGAGATGAGCTTGTGCAGGCTGAAATGTAAGAGGCCCATGGGCCTGGAGTCGGGGGGCCACAGACCCAAGCTTTGTAGCTCCTCCTTCCCTGAGGACCGGAGGACCATCTTGTTGGGCTGTGGCTAGAATCAACATGAGATCTTTCTAGATACACACACACACACACACACACACACAAGGCATTGTGTGTGTGTATGTTTTAAACAGATACTGATCAGCAAAGCAAAATATTCAAAAGAATATTCCTTGACCCTTTAGAACCAGAGCAGAATAAGTGAATTCTTAGTGTGCTAAATAGCCCTCAGATGTTTATGAAAATGCAGATTCCAGAGCCTCACACCCAGACCTTCAATCAGAATATCTAGGGGAAGGGGACCCCAGAATCTCTGTGTTTAGTAAGAACCTTGGGTTGTACTTCTGCTTACTGAAACTCGAAAACCACACTTGTAGATGCCTTTTTTAAATTGTAAAACACACAGAACATAAAATGTACCATCCTAATCATGTTCAAGTGTACAAACCGGTGGCATTAAGGATATTCACATTGTCATGCAGTTAATCTCTGGAGCTTTTCCATCTTGCAAAACTCTATACTCATTAAACAGTTTCCATTTCCCCTCCCCCCAGGCTCTGGCAGCCACCATCCTACTTTCTGTTTCTATGAATTTGACTTATCTAGGGCCCTCATATATGTGGAATTATATAGTATCTGTCTTTCTATGACTGGCTTACTTCACTCCACATGATGTCTTCAGGGTTCATTCATGTTGTAGTTTGTGCCAGAATTTCCTTTTTAAGCTGAATAATATTCTACTGCATGTATGTACCCATTTTGCTTATCCATATCTGTCTGCGGACACTTGGGTTGCTTCTACCCTTTGGCTCTTAGGAATAATGCCATTGTGAACACGGATGTACAAATATCTTTTCGAGACCGTTTTCAATTCTTTTGGGTATGTACTCAGAAGTGGAATTGCAGACCCTAGAGTAGTAATTCTATTTTTAATTTTTTGAGGAATCCCCATACTGTTTTCCACAGTGGCTGCATTTCCATTTCCACCAACAGTGCAGCAGGGTTCCAATTTTACAAACCTCGCCAACACTAGTTTTTTGGCTTTTGATAGGGGCCATCCCAGTGGGTATGAGGTGACAGCTCATTGTGATTTTGGTTTGCATTTCCCTAGTGATCAGTGATGTTGAGCATCTTTTCATATGCTTGTTGGCCATCTGTATATCATCTTTGGAGAAATGTGTACTCAAGTCCTTTGTCCATTTTTTTTTTTACCAAGTATTTGTTTTTTGTTGTTGTTGTTGCTTAGTTGTAGGAGTTCTTTATAGATTTGGATTTTAACCCTTTAGCGGACATGTGGTTTGGATATAATTTCTCCCATTCCATAGGTGGTCCATTTCCCTCTGTCAATTGTTTCTTTTGATGCAAGTTCTATAAGTTCTGTATACCATATAACCCTGTAGAGGAAATATTATTATCTATTATTCCCGTTGTAGGGGGGTGGACACTTGGGGCGGGTAGAGCTGTCGTGCCTGTGGTCACACAGCTGTACGCAGTACGAGAGCCGGGATTCAAGCTCAGGGCCCTCTGACTCCGGAGCTAGCGCCCTTTCCGTTCCCATTTCCCCACTGAGCTAATGACAAGGCCCATGGAAGTCTGCAGGCAGTGGCATGGGTTCGAGAAGCCTACAGTTACAGGAGAGGAAATACGAATGAAAGACTTGCGAATCTCTTCCTTCCTTCCCCTTTGCTTAGACCTTAGAAATAGCAGAGAAGTGCAGACAGGTTTTTAACTCTTTTGTTTATC